TAATTCATAATTTGTGAATTCGACATTACCAATGCTGCCACTGAAAATATTTGCTATAAAACACTAACCCCCCCCCCCCTTTCCCCTAACCTCGACCCTACACCCCCCCCCCCCCCTCCGTGAAAGCAGCCTCCTCTTAGTTACCTCCTGTAAGTTTAACATCGTTTCAAACTAAATTATCTGCCCCTAATAGCCGTCACTAAACCCGGCTCTACGATTTGTAAACATTTAACGTGACCACAACTCACCAGACCATGTGGGGGTGGGGTGGGGGTGGTAGTGATAGTGATAGAGAGAAAGAGAGGGGACTGTAAGGAGGCGCTTGCAGCTTGTTTTCTAACGTCTCCCAGAAGAGAATTATATATATAGATAATACAGAATGCAATATATGCTATGTTTAATAACGTTACTTTGCTTAGGTTTAATCTAATTACCTCCACCACGTAGCCAATCCTCACGAAATATACATCCCCCCCCCCCCCCCCAACCACTTCTGAATAAAATTAATCACCTAATACATAAACAAAACTCAATTACTAAAAAAAATATGGGAACTACCTGCAACATATTTAGAACCCCTGATATCAACAAGTATTTTGCAACAGATGAAGTTTGCTAGTAACTTGTAATCCAAACCCGCGTTGTTTTTTATATAATCGTTAGATCTATTGTGTTTTTCTCTTCAATGAACATTTCCGCCATATGTTCGTTTATTTCTTTATCAGGTGTAATCGATTTTTCATGACATTAACTATCAAACAATGCCATAACTCTGATTGATCTATGATTATAGTTGATGACGGAGTGTGTACATTCAAGACAAAGTTGCTATGTAGTGTGTAGTTTACCGGGACAGTTGCTATACACACTGGATAGCGTGTGAACACAACAACTGTTGAGAAGCGGCGCTGTGATAAACGACACACCGCCCACTACTGTGAACGTCACGTGATCCGCTACTGACGTCACGTACACAGCTGCGCCGAGAGTCTATTATTTAAAAAAAAATTCCATTTGACGATGTGCAAAGGGAGATAACAATGAAATTAATACAGATGTTTATTATTTACAAGCTTTTATTTAGTTCGCAACGTCTATTTGCTTGTTGGTTTGTGTTGTTTGTTTCTGGGTTTGTGGCTAATCTTTTAACTCAATTTTGACCCACTTCAAATTAGCGATTTCGTTCAAACTTTCCAGATACGTTCCACTTCGTTGACAATACAAGTATGTCTATTTTTAATTTAATTAGATTTTAATTAGTCATTAACAATTAATTAATTAGTTTCGAAACTAATGGGGGATAGCAAAATTAAATCACTCGATAGATTACTAGATTCAATAAAAGAAGAGGAGACAACTAGCTAGACGCTATCAACGGATCGATTTGGTGAGTTGTGGTTCAATAGAATATTTACAAACTTAGCGCCAGTCTATCTAGTAGAGGCTATTATGGATAAGTAATAAATTTTTAAACGATTTGAAACAAAGGGGATGTAAAAAGATTTAGAACTGTCGATTGTAAAATATGGTCACGGACGGCTGCTTTCACGTGGCAGATAATCGTCTTTCAAATACAGCGAGCTACTGATGGTGTTTTAAAGCAAATATTTTTAGTCTCGTCGACTTCATAAATTAGGTTTCACTAAAAACTAAAAATAAAACAAATATAAAAACTTTCTAGTAGCAATTTCGTTCCGTTGACCATTGGCCAGCTTTAACATAATCTTGATGTTGTTGTCGTGTATGCCAATAGAAAATAACACCAACGAGACTTAACATAAAAAGCGAGACAACATTTTTAATGTTCACTTGAATGCTTTAAACAAATCTTTTTTAAAAGCATAGCCATGCATGTAGCCAAGTGTTAACATACAATTATTGATGAACAAACAAACAAACTTTAATTAATAATTGATAACTGTGGAAAGCGTGGACGCGTATATATTATATATATCTAGATAATAAAATGTTTAGGATGAACAAAACATGTATAATATCCTTGATGACAGCAACGGTTTAGTTTAACTGAAAATGACAATGTAAAAAGAAAATATTTGCTTTAGTTATAAAGAAAAATGAAGTGCAGAGGTTGAAAAATGTATTGGAAAGATTTCCAAAACAATCAAAACAGATTTTTTTTCACAATGAAATTGTCGCTTACTTCATGGTCGTTACCTAAGCTTTTAAATTTATTTTTTACTTGGTATATTTGTTTTGTTTTTTGCAGTCTATATCAGTTTCGCCGTATGAATGCAGTCCATGCAAATGAGTTAATAATTTTCTATTAAATTGTTCAAAAAAAAAATTCTTATCCACGATTGAAACTCTGTGACTTTGTTAACACCAAGATAGGCATTCATTTTTTCATAATTATTTAATACAATTAAGGACATGACATAGCAGTTTAACCATAAGACACATATCACAAAGCCTAACACGCATACCATACACACGCACACACTCAATCCTTTATTACGGTCAAATCCAACTATTTTGTTCATGAAAATGTTATATTATTTATATCTTCTTGTTGTACAGTAGATGTTTTAATAGTTCCAAAATTAATAATAAACATAACAAAATAATTCAAGGAGGGTAGAAACTGACCTCTACCATAGATACATTTATATGTATATTACATAATATATATAATATTATATATATATATATATATATATATATATATATATATATATATATATATATATATATATATATATATATATATAGCCATTGTACATAGGGTACGCATACAACTCCTATGTGAAATAATCCTTGAGTATGGATACTAGACTTCAGCTCAAATTTTCATAGACATCTTCAGGCATCTCATATATTTCGCCATCTCCTTCTCGTAACGCGTCTGGCACTGTAAGAAATATATTCTAAATATAGTTTACGTTAATCGGATTATTCTAGCTTTTACAAGTTACATGTTCAAGTTAAATAACAAACACAATTTAAACAAGGTCAAGATCGAGGAACACGGTTATAACGTACAGAAATAAAAATAATATTCTATTGAACTATTGAGGGAGAGCAAACCAACTAGGAGAGAAAACTCCAAATTCAAACAACTGCTGCCTTGTAGATTTTTCTTAGGTGATCAAAGGCTATAGTAGCATATCTAGAAAGAAAAGCAGGCTGGGGTCGGAGTCAAATGGCCATATATTACTTTTTATAATGGAGGAAACGAATAGCCTACAATACAGCAAAAAAAGTTTAAGTTAGTCCGGGTTGCCAAGGTATGTGGAACATTATCATGAGCATTTGAAAATACATAGAATAGCTTGAAAACATTTTATTTTGACATTTTTCCGCCTACTGCACATGGTTATTCAATGCAAACTGATACATAACATGACTGTCCAACTGCGTTTAACCTTACTAACAAGTTAGCACCCACTCCTATCATCTTGATGCAACAATTTTAATTATTTAAACAGATTAAGCAGATTAGACAAAACAAAGTTCTAAAGCCCGATCAAACAGAAAAGTACAATTTCTCCTTACATTTAAGGGGTCATCCATAAATGACGTTCCGCTTTTTTTGGACGATTTTCACCCCCCCCCCTCCGTCACACATAGTCACAAATAGCCAGACCCCCCCCCCCTAAAATGACGTCACACCTCGACCTACAACCCCCCCCCCTAAAAATTGCAGTTGAATTGTTTTTTTAAACATCGAAATTTTTCCAAAAATCTTGCCAGGACTCTGTCAAAATAGAGTATTTTAATCAAATCCTATTACAATTTATTAAAACAGTTTTCTAAAACGCGAAATAACGTCTAAAATTCGTTTTCTAAGATTGTTTTTTTATAATGCATTGGTGTGACGTCGCACCATTTGAACCCCCCCCCCCCATCCGTCATCACACACCGTCACAAAATTACGGCCCCCCTCCCACCTATGAGTATGTTGTCATTTATGGACGACCCATAACAGCCAATAAATAAAACAGAACAATATTAATTACTTTAAACGCACATTACTTACTACAACTTCAAATATATCCACACGCTTAATCCGCTTCACTATTTATTTATAATAAAATGTCTTTACGAAAAAGTTGCGCGTTTTTCACTTATCATGATTTCTAATTCTCTCATTTAAGTTCCAATCTAAACATATCAAAATCATATACAACATATTACCATGGTTATCAAAACAATGGAACTGTATTCTTATTGTAGGTACAATCTTACCCATGTTATACCTGCAGGCTTGTATTAACTTTTATCATGATTAAACGAATCAGTAGAAAGCTGTAGGTTTGCTGGAAATCTTTTTTTTTTTTTTAAATTTTTAATTTCTTGATAAAGCTACCTTTTTCATTCCTCACTACTCAAATAAACTTAAATTTTCGTAGATCCGTATTCAAATTGCTATCTTAAACCATCAATTGTAGCCAGTGATTGAGTTAATTTTAAATAAACAAGAAGTCAACTTTCATGTGTTAGCTCACCAACGACCTACCATTGTAAACAGGAACTGCTGGCTTTCCAAACTCTGGAGCATGAGAACAACGACATAGCCCCTTCCGCTTGCAGAAAACACAGACAGCGATGACTCCTGCCAGAGCAACACAACCCGACACACCTACCCCGATACCGATACCGATACCGATCATCATAGCATTATTACACGAGTCTGTAAAAATAGAGCATGATATCTGGGAAAACACGAGTAAACATAATTGTATGGGTTGTAAAACTTAAGGGGGCTGATTTATGAGAGGTCCGAGGAACAATTACCGATTATGTTAATCTATCTTTAGTGATGATTATATTTATATAGATAATTGAGTAAGTTGGTTTCATGGATTCAAACCTGTTTATAGCAGAAACATATTTGAGTCAAGAGAATCAAAATAAATAAAACGATGAAAATTATGCAAGAAAAATAAACGGAGAAAAAAATAGCTAGGAGTGAAGAAACATTTGACTTAAATTGATTAAATTAGAAAAGATGCCCTAAAATACGACACGCAATAAAACCACTACACACCAGAGAAACAGGCGCTACAGTTGTAGCAGACGCCAGTCACGTGATGGCATTGCTGACATCCATCGCCACATTTTTGTAAACAATCTTTCCCGTAAAAACCCGTGTCACAAACTGAAACAATTTGATTTAGAATTGCGATAATTAAATAACTAGATATTGGTTTACAATGTTTAAAACAAAAATACACATTAAAACAGTTACAAATTGTTGCCCTTTTTTAACCAAGGTTAATTTTTAGGAAAAATTCTATTTTTGTTTTCGATAAAAATTTAATTTGCTCAAAACATTAACAATTATATTGTTAGTAACACATTTTAGCTATCTTTTTCGAACTGTTAGACTCCCAAAGTAAGCAACTATCCCATCATTTCAATGCAAAACAAGGTAACTTTTATAAAATGTCCACACATTTCCTAGAAAGGATGGTACGTATATTACTGCTTCGAGGCTCCATAAAATGCCGACCAAACACGTGTGTACACGTTTATGTTTTGACATCTTTTTTTCTTTTAAAATAAGTAAGATAAAGATGTTTTTCAGTAATACAAATTAACGCTGAGCACCTTATACACGGGAATAAAAGTAAACAAAATGACCCAGAGAGATTCATTGATACAATTGACTAGTCGTATTATTGTTTAGTAAACCAAAACAATCCACGATAGGTTATTAACTAACAACATGAACTCAGTCTCCATCTTGTTAATTGATAAAAATACAACAAAATATAACAGCCTTTCTGGGCATACATATTTCTGTGCTTTGATATGTAGTGAAAATATTATAATATAATTGCATTTCGATTGGTTTTTTTAAAATTGGGTAAACATCGACTGTTTATTGTAAATAGAATGTTTGTAAATAATATATTAGTCAATTTGTAACTAAGCTATAACAATACTATATTGACGTATCTGTCTGTTTAAAAAAAAATCATGCCCATCACCCCTCTTCCCCCAGCTCGCTAGTAAAGAAACTGCCATTTTATTATATTATTATATGTTTTTGTGAAAGATGTGAACGAGTACATTCGACTTTACATCATTTTTATACTAGAAGTGTTCATTGCAATAACAGCTGCTCCATGTAGGACTTACAGTAACTGAGATAAAATACGTCATGGGTTGGTTATAAGAATTCACCTACATAAATAAACAATTTAAAAATGAAGCTAAATCAGCCAACGTATACACAAAGTTATTAAAGAAAACTAACAACGTTAGATAAGACTGACGAGATATATGAGAAGCACTGCAACGTTACACACCAGAGAAACAGGCGTCACCAGAGTCGCTGAGTCTGTAGCCAAGGCTACAGTTGTAGCAGACGCCAGTCACGTGATGGCATTGCTGACATCCATCGCCACATTTTTGTAAACAATCTTTCCCGTAAAAACCCGTGTCACAAACTGAAACAATTTGATTTAGAATTACGATAATTAATTAACTAGATTCTTGGTTTACAATATTTAAAACAAAAATACACATTAAAATAGTTACAAATTGTTGCACTTCTTTTAACCAAGGTTAATTTTTAAGAAATATTCTATTTTTGTTTTCGATAAAAAATTAATTTGCTCAAAACATTAACAGTTATTTTGTTAGTAACACATTTTAGCTATCTTTTTCGAACTGTTAAGACTCCCAAAGTAAGCAACTATCCCATCATTTCAATGTAAAACAGGGTAACTTTTGTAAAATGTCCACAGATTTTCTAGAGCGGATGGTACGTATATTACTGCTTCGAGGCGCCATAAAATGCCGACCAAACACGTGTGTACACGTTTATGTTTTGACATCTTTTTTTCTTTTAAAATAAGTAAGATAAAGATGTTTTTCAGTAATACAAATTAACGCTGAGCACCTTATACACGGGGAAAAAAGTAAACAAAATGACCCAGAGAGATTCATTGATACAATTGACTAGTCGTATTATTGTTTAGTAAACCAAAACAATCCACGATAGGTTATTAACTAACAACATGAACTCAGTCTCCATCTTGTTAATAGATAAAAATACAACAAAATATAACAGCCTTTCTGGGCGTACATATTTCTGTGCTTTGATATGTAGTGAAAATATTATAATATAACAGCATTTCGAATGGGTTTTTTTTAAATTGGGTAAACATCGACTGTTTATTGTAAATAGAATGTTTGTAAATAATATATTAGTCAATTTGTAACTAAGCTATAGCAATACTATATTGACGTATCTGTCTGTTTAAAAAAAATCATGCCCATCACCCCTCTTCCCTCAGCTCGCTAGTAAAGAAACTGCCATTTTATTATATTATTATATCTTTTTATGAAAGATGTGAACGTGTACATTCGACTTTACATCATTTTTATACTAGAAGTGTTCATTGGTATAACAGCTGCTCCATGTAGGACTTACAGTAACTGAGATAAAATACGTCAAGGGGTTGGTTATAAGAATTCACTTACATAAAGAAACAATTTAAAAATGAAGCTAAATCAGCCAATGTATACACAAAGTTATTAAAGAAAGCCAACAACGTTAGATAAGACTGACGAGATATAAGAGAAGCACTGCCACGTTACACACCAGAGAAACAGGCATCACCAGAGTCGCTGAGTCTGTACCTCAGGCTACAGTTGTAGCAGACGCCAGTCACGTGATGGCATTGTTGACATTTATTGCCACATTTTTGTAAACAATCTTTCCCGTAAAAACCAGTGTCACACACTGAAACAATTTGATTTAGAAATGCGATAATTAATTAACTAGATACTTGGTTTACAATGTAGTAAAAAAATACACATTAAAATAGTTATAAATTGTTGCCCTTTTTTTAACCAAGGTTAATTTTTAAGAAAGATTCTATTTTTGCTTTCGATAAAACTCTAATTTGCTCAAAAACATTAACAGTTATTTTGTTAGTAAAACATTTTAGCTATCTTTTTTCGAACTTTTAAGACTCCCAAAGTAAGCAGTTTCAATGTAAAACAAGGTAACGTTTGTAAAATGTCCAAACAATTTGATTTAGAATTGCGATAATTGTCTTAAATAGAAAATTAAATGTTACAAAAATGGAACAAAATCTGATATCATTATAGTGGCAAACAATAGCAACTTGAAAACTTGTTTAATGTCTTTAGCTAAATCTGCACAGTCAGAAAAATATCTGATGCAGATTTAATTTCTTCATTCTATTTTTAAATAAGTTTTACTTATACTTTAGAACTTTTATCCAGGTATTATATTTTGAGTCTGTAACAACTTGAAACTACTTGATTATTAACTAAATTGAAATAACAAAAATAATACTCAAACTCAAACTTTGACGAATACAACTTACTATTTTTTAATCTTAATTCCGATTGTATATAACAATTATATATCAAGCACTAGTTTCAAGTAACAAAATGGTTGGTAACAAAAGTAAAATTATAACACGTTGTTATTAATACCTTTATACCAGTGGAAAATATCAGAAGTGAAAACAGTTATAAAGTTTTCAGACGCCATCTTACATAATAGTTCGTGTGCAAAATACTGAAAGTAAATACACATTTATCTGCTTTAGAGACCTCGGCATATAAAAAGATAGTGTGGTCAGCATTATGCCCAGCCTCCATAATTTCCCTCACCTGAGTTAGGTACCCATTAGAACTGGGTGGACTGAGGGACGTTCCGTTGATTGGAACCCGGATTGAAATTGAGATTCAAGGGTTAGCAGTCTAGATCTATAAATTAACAATAGTGGTGTAGAAATAGTACCCAATGAACTTACAAGTCTATTATTATATTTTACATCACATACATTATTGTTTTGATAATGAATTCATTAATATACTGGATGCACACGACGCTGTTGTGTTTACAATATGCGTTACTAATAAGGTTACTGCGATTATGAGAGGAATTCGTTTTAATAGGGCTTTGTAAGTTTCGGTCTTGCTCGCGTTAATTTCGAAATCTCGAAGTCAGGGAGATAATATTAACTTTCAAACTATATTATCTGCGGTAAACATGATCCACATTAATAACAAAAACCTGGCAAATATTTGTTTCTTGGTCTTGCTTTTAGGTTTTAAAATACCAAGTGTACCCAAAATGCAAACAATTTGTATTTTAAATTGTTTATATTTTTAATTCTAATAATAAAATCAAATTAAGTACAGTAATGCCTAGTCTATTAACTTTATATTAATATTCTATTAATTTTGTCACGGATTCTAATATAAAATAACGAAATATACGATTCTTTAAAAAAAATAAAAATTTAATGTAAACTATATTCAACTTTAGGCTAGCATTGTAGTCTAGCATTAGCATTGCTATCTTTTTTATATAAATTAATAATAGCGGAAATAGCTTTTCTATTTTTTTTAAAAACATACTTAAAACTGCAACAGATGGTAAAATTAAATAAACGTTCTTCTCTTAGTCACAATTTACAATGGCCTATAGGCTTACAGTCTTTTCTCTTTAAACATATTTTAAAGATTAAGAAACTAAATTAAACTTAAATATTTTACTTAGCCATAGCTAAGTCGTAGGTGAGTAAAGATTTAGGCCAGTTTTGTAATAAGGTACATGATTTTGAGATTTTTAGAAAAACAAAAATAACTATTCTGTACCCACATTCGATTAAAATGACACGATGTTAATTTAATGTTATTATGTCGAGTCTAACGAAATGCTTTCAAAAATGTACTCAAGATACTGGCAGGCAGGACCGAACCATCCCCTCTCACATTTATCTTTACAAGATCCATCCACGTCACAAGATGAGATTTTGTCACAGTGACATTTGTATTCACAATTAGGGCCAAACCAGCCGGCGTCACATTCTGAAAAACAATCCATACGCAAATAATATTAAAACAATCTATTCTATACATTCTATTCTATTCTATACATTTTAACGTTGTGTACTATAGCATATTATTATAAACAAGCTTCCAAGTTTAAAAGATTGTGTCAGCGAATAAAATATTCTAGATATCGGTGAAAAAATTTACAGGGACCTTTGACGGCGATGCATTAGCTATTTAAGACATAAAATATTATATCTATATACTACTCTCACGGGCTTGTCTGTCTAAAAACTGTTATATATTTGCTGATTATATGTCAAAGTAATTTACAACTATGCTTAAATTTTTCACCGCAATAATAAATTACAATGATTAAAAATTTTAATACGAAATTAATTAATCCTTAACTAAAACATGACGTTTCGTTTTTGCATTCTTATGCAAAGCATTTTTCAATTACGCACATGCTGTGCAAAATATAATTTTGTACTTGTAATTAAGTAGGTCTATAGGAGATGCGTTCATAAAATACTCGAATAAAAACAGTAAATAAATAATTATTTTATATTAGTTTGCTTGTATAAATTATTTATAATATTACTGTGTTTCTGTGTTTTGATTTTTGTTATCAAAGACAAATAAAATAATGTATCTAAAAAGTAATGTATTAATGCAAATAGGCCTACACTAGTTTTGATAGAGAATTTTTTCTGCTTTTTTTCAATGTTTACGTTTTTAGATGGTTTAAAACGCTGCTTATAAAAAACGATATTTGTAAATTACTACTCCTCAGTTTTAGAAAGATAGTAACTTATAATCGGCATAAGAAAATATCTTTGTTAAACCTACTTGTATTGCAACCTTCACCTTGAAAGCCATCCGGACAACCAGACGGACAACCCCCTGTGCTAACAAAACACGTTTCTCCCTTGACGGCACAGTTGCAAGTCTTCTGGCAGCCGAGGCCGTAGGTTCTAGTGGGACAATCGGACTCTAGTGGAAAATATTTTCAAGTGACTCCACTTTTTTATATCGATAGTGCTCGATATCGAATTTCTTTTTTTTTAATTGTTGTATTATTAATAAACTATATTTATATAAACAATATGGCAAAAACTAATTATTAGTGTCTTTGTACATCCTTAGCTTATTATTTTTAAAAAGTTACTTTTAAATTAAAGCCAACGATTTCATAAATAGATCATGAGCGCAATTTTTACGTTATGTGCTTTATTGCATTGTATATTTAAAACAATTATATGTATGACGTGATAAAGCATCAACATTTTGTCGTTTAAGTATATTATTAAATGTTAACTTGTATGAAAGTGTTGTGAATATCAATTTAAAAATTACAACACAAGTATAGATAGTTTAGACCTTTCATGTGTACGTTACAATAAATTATGTCAAACAGTATACATAATCGATTGGGCATTCATTTGTATGGTAATCGCTATCTATACATAAATTATTTAGTTATAAGAAAATATGCTATTAACTTACCATAAATGTAAAGACAACGATGAACATTAAAGCAACGCATAGACATTGAAAAACTATTGGCACAGTAAGATAAATTTGTTTCAAGAAGTATAAAACACTAACCTCCGTATATTTCTATTTCCGTAATAACTAAATAAGCTTGAACTGTTGCTCTTCCATATATTACTCTTAATAATGAAACAGGGTCGTTAAAATGTATAGTATACAATTCTTCTTTTAAACGTTTTTTATTGTAATCTGTATAATAGTTTTTAGCAACGCCTTTTGGGTTATAATGCATGACGTTTAACCAGGTTTGAAAATATATAACTGTTATTAAAAAACACAAAAATGTTAATCAGCATTCCAGTTGATACAATGTTTATGAAAGGGTGCAAGTTACTACAGCTGCAAGCATTCAAGCTATAGGCCTAGGCCAGGGGTCGACAACCTGCGGCTCGCGAGCCGCATGCGGCTCTTTTGATGTCGAGATGCGGCTCTTCAGCTCCATGCACACATATTAATAATTATTTTATTTTCAAAACTGATAAAACATATTGTTCTGCAACACTCGGTAATTAACGAGATATTAATAAACATAAACAATACGCATTCGCTATTCTGTTAGAATATTTAGCTACTTCCTATTTCAATGTACTTCCTATTAACTTGTCTATCTCAAATTGAAATATTGAACTTCAAGGTGGATATCACATAGAAAATAAACGAGCTAAATGTAAAACTGCAAAGAAAGGAAAACTCAGCATATGCCTTGCTTGAAGAAGTGGTTTGTTTCGTAAAAAATTACTTCATTTTGTTGAAGACACTGAGAGCGGTAAATTACTTTAATTCGAAAAATCTGGAAAAAAAATATCGTGATAAAACCAACGCTACTATTAACATGAATTACATCAGCATTACTATAAACAAAATAAAAGATGAGTTCACAGAGAGATTTGAGCAATTCAAAAGAAATGCAAGTACACTGATGTTCATAGTAGATCCTCTCAACACAAAAACAATGATATTAACTTTGAGCTATTTGGAATTGATGCTGGTTGTCTTCAAAAGAAATTGCTAGATTTGAAAACCAAACATTTGTTGAGTGGTAAGTTCACAGATATCAAGAGCAAGTTATAAGAGCTGGAGGTCCAGTAAAACATGCACGTTTCGCTGCACAAGTGAACTGCTCTAAAAGAAACGCCACAAGTTGGGACACTATTATGTGACGCATGGAAGTCTTCCAGGATGCTTCAGTAAGGTGAAGAAGTTGGCATTTGGAGTGCTGGCGATCTTCGGGTCAACATATTCAAGCAAGCGTTTTCTTGCATACAAAGTATAGGAAGCCAATTAACTAATAAAAATCTAGAGGCGTGCTTGAAACTGGAAACAAGTTATGAGCCAGGTTTAAACCAAACTTTCAAAAGGCATGCAAGGCCAAACTATTGTAAATAGTATTCAATAATTAAAGTTACATACTTTTATTACTAATTTTATTATATATATATATATATATATATATATATATATATATATATATATATATATATATATATATTTAAATATATATATACATATATAATCCTAATCAAATATCATAATTTTTGATATAAAAATGTTAGTGGCTCTTTAAAAACTGGAAAATTCGGTAAATTTAACTTTTGGCTCTTTCGTCTCAAAAGGTTGCCGACCCCTGGCCTAGGCTATTGTCTTCGATAAAATTAAGCAACTTAGACAAGATTCATGGTACAACAGCATCAACATCGATACCACTTCTTGCTCAAGGCACATGCGGCAAATGAAGTAGAGTCCAAATGTTTCAAGGGCCTTGGCATACGAAGGGTTAGCGTGACAAGCACTATGCCCAGTCGCCTTGTTCACCAAACGTAACGGACTCAAGACTTTCGTTTTAGAAGTTTAGCGCTCTATCGCTCGGCCACGCTGTCCCTGTATTATAACATAATTAAGTGAAATTGTTCGATGTATTTCTACCACTAAACTCACACAAGCGCAAATTAGACGTTATATAAACATAAAGAAGCAATTCAAAATTTCCTTTTACATTATCTGTCATAGTATAACTTGCAAATTATATTTAAACAGTGTATTATTTCAATATGTCAGTACAAAGCAACCGAAAGCAAGCTCATTTCACTTCTAGAGATTCATCAGAGGTTATCGATTTATGTTCGATCGTGTTACGCGCCACCGAAAACAATAAGCAAAGTAAATTATGTCTACAGCATACACCATTGTATTGTTTTTTTTTATCTCTCGCGAATTATATTCCTAGGCGTTACGTTAGTTTATTCTGTTTTTAAAATCATATTTTTAAAATGCTAAAACTTTAAAATAATTATGTTAGTGAACTGTTTTAATGTGGCAAACGTTTAAAAAAAAACTAATAATTCAAAATGCTGAATAGCATTAGCTACTTACGGTTTCCTTTTGTAAAGTTCCCTAAATTAAACACGTAATAGTAAATGAACGCTGGGGTTGAAAACGAAACATTCAAGGCGGGGTTTTTATCGTTGATGTTTGCAATGGAACAGCCGTAGTTAGAGCAGTCAGCATTAATCTTTCCATCAACAGCATTACTGTCGTTATATCTCGTGTCGTCATCGAAGTAACTCGACATTGAGGTTTTCTGCTTAAGCGCCAAGTTGCGTCCTGGATAAAATTTGAAATATATTTCTAATTATAAATAAATTATTATCATATAATAAAACAGGAAACTGTTATTCTTTTTTTAAACACAATGAATTCTAGATGAAGATGTGGATTTTAGAACGTACGACGTGTGTTAATAGAAGATTGTAAGTGCGCTAGTTAACGTCTATTTAAGATAGGAGAATACAGCACAACTAACCTCCACTAATTTGTAATGTACAAACAGTGATTTCCGAAGTAAAATTAATGTAAAATGTCGTTGAATATTTTTTTCTGTTACAGAAAATGTCACTAGTTCTGCTGTCTTTAACACATTTCTGAAAGTCCTCGCAATCAACATTTAAACCAGTTTCTTTGGAAGTGAACGATAGTGACAGTGACCTTGCCGCCATTTCTGACGTAAGAATAAAAAAACATCATTTTCATTTAACTTGATGATTAGTTTACTCTATAAAATTTAAAAACAAAGCGATTCTTAAACAGATAGTTTACGAGAGGCGATTCCCTTTAATAATTATATTTCAGATACATTTTTAAATTTTATAACTGTACGGCAATGTATGAAATAAAAGGCCTTATGCAAAAAAAGTATCACGTTTTCAAGTAATTACATGAAGTAGTTGCCTACACATACAAGCCATTCTTTTGAATAACCGTACTTTTCTAGTCAAGTATAGAAATGACTTAACATATTGTTTAACAAAGCACCGAAACAGAAAAACGAACGCCTTTTGAACTACCACATGGCTACTTGTAGAACAAAATAATACAAAATCTACTTACTTATTAATCAAAAATATATAATTATTGTTGTTTCTGTTCTATAGTATTATACGATGTTGGTTTTGGTGATGTATTAGTTAGTTCTTTTTTTATTTATAAGTCTGTTACTTTGTTAAACTAATGAACCTGGCTTTAAAGTATAATTTTCCCGATGACTCATTTGTAGAAGATTTTGGAGGATATATCAAGTTGTCGGGCACAGCTAAAGTATAAAATGTGATGCTAAATATTTTGTTTCGAATTTACAATTTACAACTACCGTTAAAGCCATGGTTAGTCACATTCCTAATAATTACTAAACAAGATAGATGGTCATTACGCCCTCCCCAACATCAGAGATACGTAACGGCTTTATTAAAGCATTTAACACATGAAACCTCTGCCTCGTTAAATTTTGTTTTAAATTAACATTAATCAGATGTTTTTGACGAAATATTATTACTGTTCTTCATTTTTGTTCTTTACTGTAATGCTATAATGAAGATATTACGTGGGTTTAAAGGGGAGCTTAAGGTGGACAAGGTGTGCTGTATAGAAGAATGTAAGCCGTCAGCATGTCACTTAGTTTTTGGATTGTACTTGTATTATTGTTATCCTACTATAGATTTATCATTACTATTCATTGTGGATCTATTCTATTAATGTAAATAAAGTTGAAAAATGAAAGAACTGTTCATCGTAAATATTGAAGAAAGAACTCACAATAACAACGTATTGACTCATCAGTAAACACACGTTGTTACACATTTTTTTCATTCAATAACAAACAACAAGGTAACAGTTATTTTGGAGATTAATGTAATGCACCGTTTGCTGTCCCCTGCTTTCATTGTTTGTCGTCCAGGTAGATTGACCCAGATAAATTTAGTTTTAGTAATCTTGAGCTATACTAACCTAATCTGTCGTTTTTCCTTTTAGATATTGTTTAGGACTGCAAGGTAATGTTTAAAAATAAGGTTCAATTTATTTATAGAACGACAATTTCAACAATTGGTAAGCAACTGATGAGGCAAGACGCATTCTACTCTGAATGTAAAGTGCAATAGTAGTCAAAACGTAAACCCAGTTTTAAACTAAATTATACAACCGCTTACAGTTTTACATTTGCATATATTATTAACAGTAATAATACCTGCGTTAAACATTTTTATCCTTAGCCAAGAAAATATAATGTTTTTTTGATTAAACGTAAGTGAGATCATCTTTATTTTTTCAACGCATGTGGTATCATCATCATCCGTAAAGGAAGCGGTTGGTTTGTCTGGAACTGTTGTAATTTCAATGACATTAGCAAGATCCCCTGTAAAATGTAGTTTTAAATTGTTATACACTTCTTTTAAATCAAAATGTTTGGAAATGATAATCAATATCAAATGAAATTGACATCAGCTTCTGTAAGGCACTGTACTCACGATACTGGCAGGCAGGACCGAACCATCCCCTTTCACATTTATCTTTACAAGATCCATCCACGTCACAAGAGGAGATTTTATCACAGTGACATTTGTATTCACAATTAGGGCCAAACCAGCCGGCGTCACACGCTGATCATCAAATGAATTTAGGAATTACAGAGAATGTATGGAAAAAAATTATTTCCGTTGACCGAAAGTAGTAGTTTTCACTATTTCCGATTTCTCAAAAAAAAAAAACGCATGTGAATTTATAAAGTACTAATAATATTTTGCACTATTATACACGTTTTGTTTTGCGTTCACTTGGTGTGCAATTCTATTCTATTTTTTAAAAGTTTAAAGAATTAAAAATCACGTCTATACCGAGTTTCCATTTCATGTTGTTTTTTAATATAAGAATATTCGAGAAAGTTTAGCGGAGATAACTCCCGGTTTATTTTTTAAAAGAAGAATCATTTTAATCAATACACTGTATTATTCAGAAAGTAAAATTTGTTGTTCTTTGCATTTATTATTATTTTAAGATGACATAATATTGAATAGGTTTGAATAGGTGTTAGTTTTCACACCTTTTCGTGGTTTCCATGGCAACCAGTACTTCTATTGGCTGCTATATAATATATTTGTCCATAGGTTAACAACTATTAACATGTGAATTTATTAAACACCAAGAAATGTGTTAAATATATTTTTTTTCTAATCTGTACCGTCTATCCTTTAATTAAGATTTTTTGGGAATGATAAAGCTTCACTACCTTTGTCTAGGTCAGGGGTCTCCAAACTTTTCAGCCCGAGGGCCGCATTAACTATCAAATATCAGTTCGGGGGCCAGAGTTTCTTCCATGCTTCTCTTTGGGGTAACGATATCCCCGTACCCCTCCCCCCCCTAACGGAATATAATTTATATAGAAATATGTACACATTTTAAATGCACACTCTACCCTGGAGAAAAAGTCTGAAAGAAACATTGTCGGGGGCCAACAACACACTCGAGTTCCAAGTATGTTCTCCTTGGGCAAACACAAAAACCCACCCGCCATTTTTTGAACTTGTCTCTAAGGAGGTCATTTGCTTGCTATTCAATGACCTCCATCTGCAGTTCATCTTGGCAACTGGTTACATTTGCTTCAAATGGGGTTTGAAACAGTCTCACTTCTGCCTTTGAATCCTAGTCAGAAAACAGCTACTGAAACTGCAGCTGGAGGTCTTGTTAGCAGTTTTCACTATTTGAGTCACAATGTTTTCATCCGTGTCAGAAACACGGAGGGCAATGGTATTAGCACCCAAAGTTACATTTTCAAATTGTTTTGAATTTTCTGGGCAAAGCTCCTCAGCCATTTCTAACAAACATTTTTTTCCTTGAACAAAAAGATCTCCACGGGCCGGATAAGGGGACCTCGCGGGCCGCATCCGGCCCGCGGGCCGTAGTTTGGAGACCCCTGGTCTAGGTATACAGAGAGGCACCATAAAAAATAACACAGACGGATCTAAAAAGGAGGAAGAGAAATGTCATGCTTAGGTAAAGCTGTAAACTTACGGTACTGACAGAGTGGACCAAACCAGCCCCGCTCACAACTTGACCCAGCTAAACACAGACCTTGGTCATCACATCTGTTGTTGACACAGTGACATTTGTATTGACAGCTGGGGCCAAACCATCCAGTGTTGCATCCTTATAATAATATACAATTATATACTTATTCTAATTAGCCAAAAAAACAGTTGTAATTAACCTATTAATTTGTCATGATACAGTAAATGTGAATATATTACAACACAAACATTTTTTCATCAGATGTAGTTTTTTTTATTAAGTTCAATACAAATAGTGTAACTTTTTGATATTACATATTACCTGAAACAGCCCAGACTAAATGACACCACCAAAAAACTTTTGTCAATGCCATGAGTAAATTTCGTCCTGCTTCTCCTGTAAAGTATAGTATAGCTTTGAATGTAATAATTAGAAATTGCATTACCTGTTTACACGTCTTTAATGTGTTATGCTATAGAAAAATAATTATAATTAAACACTGTAGAAATAAAGAATATTTTGCATAATAATATACATTCTAAATACATACTTTTAAATATGAAACCCAAAGCACACATGAAAATGTATTTCCAAATGGTGAATTCATTTCTAAAACATATTCTATGAGTATGTAAGCTATTCCCATGCTCTTCTAAATGTCATCCTGTTCTGTATTGATAATAAAAGTATAGTAATCCACTTCCTTTTCTGATAGTCTAAAATTCATATAAAAAAATATATTGTGTTTGTTAAATATGTGTGATCAACGAAGCACGTCGGTAAACCACAGCATATTATAACGGTTAAATGATATGAATTTCTAGACGGGAGTTTTCTATGATGAAATTTTGTATTGGTCATACATGGCTGCACATGCTAGACTAACAATTTTTTTTTACAATTTCGTAATATTTCTTTTTTAGTAAAAATAAGCATATAAATAAAAACAAAGACTTAAAAACAAAAATCTAACACTTTTTAAAAAAAAACAATAAGTATTAAGATTAATATAATATGTAAATAAGTAATACCAAGCTAACAAAACTTACATGAGTTGTTAAAATCTGCTGGCTGAGCTAGTGACACTCAAGTAAAAAAAAGCATTTAATGAACACAATACCTAAACCACAATACCAAACGATACAAAGATACTTAAAGATTATTGTCGCTCTCCTTGGTGCACAGGCGCCTATTCAATCCTTCATGTTAACCTTAAACCCAACTCATTGAAACACG